ATAGCTGTGTGATTTATATTCTAATTGGAATCAATGTCACTCTGACAGAATAATACAAAGAAGTATGAGCGCTATTTTCTGTTCACGTATAAGTACCTACCTCCGAGTTACTCCAATAAAATAGGGAACCATTTGTTTACGCTGGTTCAGCAATAAAATTCGTAGGTATTGTAGCGAATATTCTAGAAATCCCGATGGACATCAAGGCGCCATGAAACATTAGCCATCGGCGATAAGAAACGAAGGCGTATGTGACCTCGGACGTGACGTATTATTTCCGAGAAATATGATGTCTTTGTTCTAGAACACTAGGAAGCCTTCGGGACCACTCGAAGAACATTCTAGAAAGAATATATGCAAATCGAATTGTGTTTCAAGTTAGTTCCAACATACATGAGCTCTTCTTATGTTATAAATTGTGAGTAATAAACTGTTAGAAATTAATCCATTACAAGACTGTTATAATTTTATTGTTTACTAATTGCTAATTAATAAATAACATAATTAAATTAATGTTACAGTTCTAACAAAGAGATCAGAATGAATTTTTATTGAACAAGTATAATGTAGATATGAGCTAGTTATTTAATAATTAAAATAGTCACACTAATTAATTCACTTTAGTTAGTAGTAACATATAATAAAATGCCAAAATATAACATACGGGCGCATGGATGGTGCTTTAAGAAAAATTCATGTGAGAGTCACGAAGAAGCTTGTTGTGATGAGAGACTCACTTAGCGCAATAAAGGCTTTAGATAAAAGAAATAAATTTTACAGATCCAGTCCATAAATCTTTACCAATGTGGCACGTGCATTTTTCGTCAAATTTTTTGCTTAGAAGTACGTCGAGTCAATTTGCCACGTAACAAAATCCCTCAGCACGAGGGATTTGACGAAAAACGACAAAATTTAATCATGCTATTTTTAAACACGCGTGATATATAATGATTATTTCCTGAATAATTAATTATTCACAGCAGTTTCAAGATTTGCGAAAGAATTTGCACCAAAACTGGACATAGTGCAAGAGATAAGTTTATTCGAAATTAGCACATTAGGTACACTTGTTCAGAGTGACAGTTTCGTATCTAAGCAACAGCTAGTTTGGATTTGTCTAAGCATCTTTGATATTTGAAACTAATACAATCAGATTTCAATGAATCAGAAGCATAAAGTTTTGACACATTTTTAACCGGTGGTAAAATTTTGACGTTTACAAATTAATCGCTTAAATATGGACAGTCACCATAGCAGTTCTAATGCTTTTACTACATGCAGGAAATAATCAAATACAAAGAAAGGTGCATTTGAAATTATGACAACTATTAAAATTGGAGTACCTACATTCACGATTGTGTATAAATTATTTTTTTCACTACTAGCGTCTGATGACATGATTATTAACCTTTTTTCCACTTGTAAAGTAGGCTTTCTCGGCATTTGTTCAAAGTGGTTAATAATTTTTTATTATTAACTAGTAGTCAATAATGAGAACTGTCACGCTGTCACTTTTAGAAAACACAACCCGAAATTTCGCTCAATGAACGTTTAGACAAGTTCTCTAAAACGAATAATTGCCACCATTCGCAATTTCCAGAGAAATTACATACCTAAAATTATCACATTTTGAAAAAATTCGAACGAAATTACTCTTTGAAAAATCTCAATGACAGAACAAAATACGGCCTGTTTGACTTGTACTTCCACGTACTTGATTGACATGTTAAATTAAGAAACAAACAATTCTGTCCAACCGTTCACTTTCTTATCAATATAATATGTTAATGCTAGTAGTGAAAAAAATAGTATACAGGGTGTTACACGACCGTTCGAAAAAAAAAAATCGGGTTGTAGAGGGCATCAAAACAAGCACTTTTTCCAAATAAATCGAGGGTCCAACGTGTTTCGTTTGGGAGCCACCCCCCAAAGAGTGTTGAAATCTGCATTTCTTCTTTAATTTTTTTCTCAGCAACCATAAGAGTTACAAAGTCGGGTGGCATGTCTTTGAATAGGTTTTTGGGTATGCTCTTTCCGATTTTGCAATTTTTTTTTTCAAAATTCCTACCCCTAAAGGGCGCACCCCTAAACTAGGGTGCAAAAAAAAATTCTGATTTCGACGAAATTTGGTATCTGGGGGTTTTTTAACATGAAAATCACGAATCTGAAATTAGTTTTTGAAAATTCGAAAAAAAAGTTCCACTGAAATTCTTGGCGGGACAACGAAAATAGAGATAATTCCACGAAATTTGTTGTGTACATACTAAACGAGTTAAGGAACAAAACTGTCGAACAGTTTTTTAAAATAACTTTTCAAAAGTTATACTCATTTGAATGTTGGTCCTTCGGGTCGCGAAGTGTCCCAAGCCTACTAGTAAGCCATAATTTCGCATGTGTTGGTTGACAATGTCGCAAAAACAAAAGATTAACGGTTTGAGTCGATATTTTGTTATTTGGAATTAATTCGGTCATTAAATGATTAAAAAATTCGATGTATCGATTAAAACACTTACCAAGGTATCTTAAAGCGCTGATCGATTATTTATTATCTAAATAAGGTAGGGGAAAAGTCAAATCACTTTCCGTATGATACTTTTTCACTATGATCAAAAATTTTCATAATCTTAGGTTGAAAAATAACTTCCAAAAGAACACGCTCCTTTTAAGGACAAATCAGCGCTTTTATGTACCTTGGTAGGTGTTTTAATCGATAGATCGAATTTTTTAATCATTTAATGACCGAATTAATTCCAAATAACAAAATATCGACTCAAACCGTTAATCTTTTGTTTTTGCGACATTGTCAACCAACACATGCGAAATTATGCTTACTAGTAGGCTTGGGACACTTCGCGACCCGAAGGACCAACATTCAAATGAGTATAACTTTTGTTTGAAAAGTTATTTTAAAAAACTGTTCGACAGTTTTGTTCCTTAACTCGTTTAGTATGTACACAACAAATTTCGTGGAATTATCTCTATTTTCGTTGTCCCGCCAAGAATTGCAGTGGAACTTTTTTTTTCGATTTTTCAAAAACTAATTTCAGATTCGTGATTTTCATGTTAAAAAACCCCCAGATACCAAATTTCGTCGAAATCAGAATTTTTTTTGCACCCTAGTTTAGGGGTGCGCCCTTTAGGGGTAGGAATTTTGAAAAAAAAAATTGCAAAATCGGAAAGAGCATACCCAAAAACCTATTCAAAGACATGCCACCCGACTTTGTAACTCTTATGGTTGCTGAGAAAAAAATTAAAGAAGAAATGCAGATTTCAACACTCTTTGGGGGGTGGCTCCCAAATGAAACACGTTGGACCCTCGGTTTATTTGGAAAAAGTGCTTGTTTTGATGCCCTCTACAACCCGATTTTTTTTTTTCAAACGGTCGTGTAACACCCTGTATTACATATTATATATATAATTATAGGGGAGTCAATGGTGTCCGTCTGTCCGTAAACACGATAACTATCAAATGCTTGGACCAATTTGGTTCAAACTTTGCACAGTTGACCTATATGCCACAAGTAATAAACCTATTGAAAATGGGTCAAATACAATGACCCCGTGGAGTCACGCTTCTCTGTCCCTGCCAAACGCTTGAACCTATTCGGTTGAAACTTTGCACAGTAGACTTATACTCGTATGCCACATGTAACAAGTCTACTGAAAATGGGTCAAATCCAATGACCCCGTAGGGTCACGCCTCTCTGCCTCTGGGAAACGCTTGAACCTATTCGGTTCAAACTTTGCACAGTGAACATACATACCACATGTAACAAGACAATTGAAAATTGAAAATGGGGAAAATGGCTCCTTGGGGTCACACTGAGGTGCTCTGCCGCTTCTTTTTTCCGCTTGACCAGCTTCCAATTAATTAGCCTCCATTAATTGTTGACCAGCCTCTATTTTAGCTTCTACGGCGACCGGCTTTAATATCTTGGATTAATTGCAGAATTTCCTCCATCTTTCTGGTCACCATTTATAACCGTAATTATTCCTTATCACTTACAATTTATAACAACTCAAGCGCATCGAAGTAGGAACTGAACTCGAAACAAAATTCGCTATTCTTATATATGTTACGTACCAAGCCCGTTTTTGTACCGTTCGCGTACTGTACAGTGATATTTGTACCAATCGCAAAGTGTACAGGCTACTTTGTACGAAGTCCGATTCACCGGACTTGGTAGCTCGAGATTTGTACTATTCGCGTTCTGTACAACCTATTTGTACCGAACTGTTGATTTTAATTTTTCATTCAACTTCGTACAATTTAATCTTGTACAAAGTTCGAATGAGGAGTTGCCTGAATACTTGAAATACATATTTGAAAATAAAAGTTATTTTATTTAACGCAAACACAATTTGAAATATTAGTAAAACAAAAATAAAGATTATTTCCGTAAACTTAAATTTATCTGCAATAACAACCTATTTATTAGTACAGTTCAATGAGTTGTGGCACCGAGAGTTGCACAAAACTTTTTTTTTCTACATACACACCTCTTATTTAAACATTTTAGTACAAGCGCACCGCACAAATCCTTTGCCGCCAACTACTGATGCCTGTGAATTTGCCGCTCGTAAGGATATCGACGCAGGTGGTACTTCTCCGATCTCCAAAAATGTAGTGTTACATGGTGCAATTTTATTTCGACTGTATAACTGTGAGATAACCCCGTTCTTTGTTCCGATCTTGTAAAAGTTATCAGAAGTCACTTCCATAACAACACCTAAAACAGGATAATTAATATAAGAAATGCATTTGAAAAAAACCATACCTATAAGGTTTCTGAGATCACTTTTACTCCGGTCCACATCGGGTACCGTACTGGAATTGTTACGGTTGTTCCACATTCGAGTGGTGGATACGAGGGTGGATATTTGGAATCACTCTGAGACTTCATACGTTTTGCTTGTTGCTCTAGTCCCATGACGGCTATCTGTTGATTTTTTTTAATGTTTAGGTGAACATCATTTACCTAGTATTGATGTTTCTTCGGTAGTTTGGACTTCGCTCTCTTCAATTTGGTCTATTTTGTCCGTTCCTTCATTTAGTAATATTTCCTCAGTAGTTTGGGTTTCTAGCTGCTCAATCAGATCTGATTTATCCGATTCTTCATAAAATAATATTTCTTCAGTAGTTTGAACATCTTCCTCCTCAATCTGATCTGATTCTTCTGTTTGCACTAAAGTTTCATTTATCACTGAACCAGTTACTTCTTCTACATCTTCTTCTGTGTTCAAGCTTTCAATAACAGAAGTGGAAGAGCACTAGATGCTAGTCCTAATTTGGCTTTCCTTCCAAACAGTGCTTCAAACGGCGATTGCTTGATTCCAGAATGGAAGCTATTATTTTTTTGGTACTGGCAAAAACGCAAACCTTCGCTCCATTGAGTGGAATCGTTATCTATCATCCAAGCTCTTATCATTTCCTCCACGTCCCGATTGGCTCTTTCTACACTCCCTTGACTCTGGGAATGGCGCGGTTTGCCATGTACAATTTTTAATTGTGGCCACATGACGGTCAATTCGTCTATGACACAATTAACAAATTCTCGTCCATTATCTGACTGGAGTATTGACGGAGCACCAAAAATGCAAAAAATATCAATTAAATTGTAACTAACCTCAGCTGCTGTTTTTGTTTTTAAAGGACGTAAAATTACAAACTTGCTCAAATGATCTTGATAGTTCATTATAAACTTAAAATCACGATCTTTGCACGATTGCATGTCTATTAAGTCCACTTGTCCACGTGAGTTAACTTCGTTAAAAACCATTGGTTTTATTACAACTCCTTTTTTTGGATGTGCTCTTTTTTTCGCACATGTTTCGCAGTGACTTATGAAGAGTTGAATTATTTGACGTCATATATTAACGTACTTACTTTTTACAGCATTATACATTTTATGTAATCCACCATGACCAGTTTCAATATGTGCGTTTTTTAAAATTTCGAATATTTCACCATTATGTACAAAGTATTTCACTTCATTATTTACAGATGTATTTAGAGGCATTATTAATTTTGTTGCTGTTCCTACCGTCAAAACATCATATCGTTTTAATCGTCTATGGTCCAGCGACGTTTTCTTTTGTTTAGCTTTTGCTTCCATCACTTCGTTTATTAGCTGTGCATAATTATCTACACTTGTAATTGACACTGAATTCTCCTTAAAAATCTGCTCGCTTAATTTTCTTTCAAACTTTTCTTTGAAGACGCACACACTTTGTGATTCCATTGTTTTTTGTTATTAACCTAACTTAAACGGCAGAAAGCACGAAAACATGTGACTAACCGAGAATTACAGGAAAACAGCGGCGGCGGCTAGCAACACCTCTTCCGTCACTTGTACAGTGCTTTCCATGAAAATGTTATATTCGTACTTTGAACAAAAACTGCTGTACGAAGTTGAATGAAAGATTAAAACCAACAACTCGGTACAAAGAGATTGTACAGAACGCGAATAGTACAAATCTCGTGCTACCAAGTCCGGTGAATCGAACTTCGTACAAAGTAGCCTGTACACTTTGCGATTGGTACAAATATCACTGTACAGTACGCGAATGGTACAAAAACGGGCTTCGTACGTAACATATACAAACATTCTTTCTAGAATGTTCTTAGAATGTTCTCGAGTGCTCAAAGAAGTTTCAGAATATTCTCGCACAAACACGTCGTCGTCATATTACTAAGAAAGATTACGTCACATGCGCCTTCGTTCTTTATCGCCTACGACTCATCTTTCATGGCGCCTTTAAGAAAAGATTGTGAACACGGTCCTTATTTCCAACAAGCAAAACCATTACTTTGTCGAGAGAAGCTATTGCATTTTGCTCAAAATAAACTGGTTGATGTGACGTTTGTTATTGGTACGCATCTTTCCATTTTACTCACTTTATCAACGAACGTCGCACAATATGACGAACACACACAACAAATTTATTTAGAAAAAAAGTTGTGTATATCTGAAAACGAAGCTTCAGGCTGCTATTTTTTATCGCAGTAGGTACATACCCAATAAATTAAAAATAATTAATGATTATTTAGCGAAATAAAGAATGGATCAGATTAACGTTTCAAAATTTTATGTTGGCTTTATGGCAGCAGAGACTAATTGTAGGTATATTTTATCCGTGTTAGTGTTAATGTTCCACAAGTGGAAGAAGACATAGGACACTGGCATACAAAACTGACGGACTAAATATACTTCTACATATGAAAGAGGAACAAGATTCAAATTATGAACCTTATGCGCACCAACAGTAGATCTAGTAAATCTCCACTCTCCTTCTCAATTTCGAATTATCTTGATAAATGCAAACAAAATAGTATTCGGGAGATTAGGTAAAGTAGCTTCCGGTAGTTATCTCAAATCGAAACGCGAAGTGAACCGAAAATAAAGCGAAAATTAGATTTGAAACATTCAAAGACCGTAAAGCTATGTGTGATAACTGTTTGCTGATCATATAAACTGTCAATCATCCTCTTTTTCTTTCCCTAGTTTTTTCCCGTTCGGTAAATAATGTAGCTGTAAAATCTAACAGTTGTGTATATTAATTCTGTTAAGTATTATAGGTACCCTAAAATCTATCACTCTTTATTGTGACTCTCGAACCAATTCAACAATTCAATAGGCAGTATTGAGGTGGTTCGACATTTTGGTCGAGTAGGTAAGTAGGTATAATCTTAAGGAAAATCTATGTAGAGGAGAGTGAACTTTAACAAAAGATTATGTTAAATGAGCCAAAAAAAGCAATTTCGAATTCGACAATAACTTTGAAATGGGTTAATCGCGTTTCTTTCATTTTTTCCATGGCTATATCGACTACCTTTTTCTGGATGACATATCGCTTAAAATCCTTTATCCATTGGATATGTTAATGAACAAACATACAATATCGCCAGCTAACTTTTCAATTATTGCCTTAGATGCAGATCCAGTCGAAATCTTAATTTTTTTAAATATTTCTTTGTCTTTATCTTTAAGTGAGCAGGGTTTGAACCAAGACTGCTAGGTATACTTGGAGGTAGTGGTTTAAATATGGACCCTGTATATAATATGGACGCCCCTGAACATTCGTCCTTGCTGTAGTGTCGTAGTGACATCTGGCTTGCAATGCACCACATAAGTGGGACAACGTCGCTTTTTCTTTTTGTCGGCTCATTTGTCTTCTAACTGTCAGAAGATTCACCTTATTGTGGTGGCGTTTATAGAATATTATGGCCTATCACTGCTGGTGGATTTTACCAAAGTATATGGAAATCCAGAACAGAACGTATTATTACCAATTACCATTGGTCTGTTTGTTCCATTGCTTGTTACATTTACCACGACTAATTCGAAATATGGGTCCCTGGGTTGCCGCATAATTTCGGACCACCATATTATATGGTACTTAATGACTTCGGCGATAGGCGGCTCATTTGAAAGAGAATGGGGTAAGGATCTCGTGCCTACAGGTATTTTTCCCAGTCCTGGCATTAATATTATTAGGAGGAAAATACGCTCTCGTCATTTATGTTTGCATAATGACTTTTTAAACTTGTTTTTTTTGGGTGCCGTAAATCGCTGTATTCGTAATAAAAAATTCAAATTTTTCGCAAAAACCATGCAACCATCGGAGACATTGGAAATGATAACCGTATAACATATGTAAAACACAAACGACCCTTATTCAATCTGATCACCCGTCACCCTTCTCAATAATAAGCGTCATAACATGCTCGCGCAATACCATCAAAGCAGGATATGCGAGAATTTTAAATTAGAATTTAACAAAACAATTGAATACTTTTAAGTAGGTACCGTATCGACAGTATCCGCGACTTTTCCTTCGCCTACCGATCACGGTGGAGTACGGTACAACCATCACTTGATGCGACACCGTTGCCTTTTCTGCTTGAACGAAACTCGTAACTTTATATACCATATACCTACGAAACCTTAAACATTTCCGAAGTTAAAATGCTACTCAATACAGTACGTACCATTTTACGGGCACCCGGAATTTCTGAGTGGAATTTAGCGTTTACGAGGACCACCCTGTATAGTAACGATTGGTTTGGGCTTCGTTACATAAAAAAACCGTAATTTGGAGAACTTTCCGCGGTGCCATGGAGACAAAGAGATACCGTAATTAATTAGTCCGCCTATGACCGTTCCTGTTGGAATTTTGGAACTATTTTTGCAAGAAGAAAGAGAGCAATATGTTATTTCTCTACGAATGTTATTTTTTCTGGTGCGGTTCATGTAATTTTGTTGTGTTATAAGTATACCTACTGTTGCGTCCCGAAAATAGAATTCCTTCATTTAGTTATTCCTTTGAAATTCCTTTAAAGAAAGTACCTTTAGCACGCCCTTTATATAACTATTTCGACTGTCCTTGTATACCTAAGTATGTATTTCCACTTGTTATGTGCCGCGCTTTCGAAGATAGAATTAGCCTACATATGCGCACTCGTCGAATAACAATCGAATCGCATACAAGATGTCTTGAATCATAGGCCTGGAAACATGGGGTTTGTAGGCGAAATAATTCTCGGAAAGCTGGAAATGGTTTTAATCTTTTATTTATTTTCATGTAAACAGAGTGTTTTAAAGTTTGCACCAATTTTCTGCTTGTGCTGACGGAGGGGTGGCTCAAAGACCTCAAAATTTGTGGACTTTTTTCAGTTTTTCATTAATAACTCGTAAATGATACTTTTTTACGAAAAGTTGATTTTTCCACAAATTGAAGAAGGTAAAATTCTGCGTCGAATGAATACCCATAGTTACTTGAAATTGCGTCAAATCTTTATGAAGATATGCGCAATCAAGGAACGACAACATATTTTATTTTTTTTAAACTATATGTTTTGAAATGTTAAGCGCTTTATTTTCATAAATATGAAATGAAATAAAAATATGATAGTTGTATATCTTTTAGTTACATATCGTATATCACATCTAATATGCGAACACTGATATATTTAATGCGACTCCATGGATTTACAAACAAAAATGCACTTTGCGGTTTGATACCTACGTATGTTAATACGTAAACAAGTTAAAAGGTAATCGTAAACGATTTACAAAAAGCGCATTTCCACTTGCATTAATTTCTCATTGTCAGATGCAACTTCTATTAAAATCCTAAAAATCCGGCCACAAATAGCGCTGCAAAGGTGCAATCCATTTTTGACGTGCTACTTCAATTTCAGTTTATAAGAAGAATTTCATTTCAATGCTTTTCTAAATAAGAAAGTTGGAACTGCGCAAGCGCAAATCTAAATTTTGAAACTAACGTTTGATTTTCCTTTATTCCATGTGCCTATGTATTACATTTCATTTAAATGCTTTCATAGATAAAAAAAGTTGGAACTGCGCATGCGCAAAACCAAATTTTGAGACTGGCGTTAGATTTTCATTTATTCCAAGTGCTTATGTATCAAATTTCATTCAAATACTTTTATAAATAAAAAAGTTTGCAATTCGGTTTATAAATGGTTGAGATGCGAAAAGGACACTGTGAATTTTGAATCGATTCGACTCAACTTTTGGCATTGAGTATTATATGGCTAAGGCTATGCCCATCTTGAATTTCATGCAATTCAGTTCATAACTAACGGAGATGTCAAAACGATCGGACATTTCTAAACAACACGGACAGATAGAGGGACAGACAGACAAAGGAACAGATGGACAGACCAACAGACGGACGGCAGACAGCAATACAAAATGATAGAGATCGTTAATAAACGGCAAGAGTGTAAAATTATGGAACATGTAAAAAACGGTTTTTTTGTTTTTTTACTATACTTAACTTTTTTAGCAATAAACGCAGAAAAAATTTCTTCCTTGGTACAAGCCTCGACACCATAACGAACCAAATAGCGAAAAAAGT